AGTGGCTGTCTGTATTATCTGTAGGATCATTGTTGTCACTGCTACTACCTGTAGTATACAGTGGCTGTCTGTATTATCTGAAGGATCATTGTTGTCACTGCTACTTCCTGTAGTATACAGTGGCTGTCTGTATTGTCTGAAGGATCATTGTTGTCACTGCTACTACCTGTAGTATACAGTGGCTGTCTGTGTTATATGTAGGATCATTGTTGTCACTGCTACTACCTGTAGTATACAGTGGCTGTCTGTGTTATATGTAGGATCATTGTTGTCACTGCTGCTACCTGTAGTATACAGTGACTGTCTGTATTATCTGAAGGATCATTGTTGTCACTGATACTACCTGTAGTATACGGTGACTGTAGTACCAGAGGAAATGTTACTATGTTTATAATCTTGTAGAAATCACCAGAGGGCTAGATGATGTAATACATCTTATGTATAATACATGTTTACATAGTTGTTAGCTAATCTGTTCTTGGAAATACTGTCTTGTTTATATTCAATCAGTTCTGACACTTGTTCCGTCCCTGTAGAATAGTTATTTTAATGTTATTAAATGTCACTCACAAAAATCAAGTCTTTGTCCAGAAAATAAGCTACATGCATTAGGTATTTGAAAACTTGAAGTTGATTAGTTTGATGGCTCTGTATACCTATTTTAATGAACGAGAATTGTTTTTTCTTTGAAATTTAAATGCTTTTATTTCATTTCTCTTCAGAACAGGGTATTTCTTTTATTTATTAAATGAAGTAATAGTGTTCTTATTGAATAACTGAAAGCAGAAGTTTTTTTATTGTGTGGAAAAATGACAACAATTTTATTTCTTATAATATTTTAAATTGAAGTGTACATTTTTCTCCTCAAGATGGACTGCATGACCAGTTTGTTTTGTAGAAAAAGGTGAAGAGTTTGAAAGAGGTTCTTTTGTGAAAAATATTTCCAAAATATGATGCAAAATAAACACTAACAGATAATACATATGGAAAACTTTTGTCATTTGAAAAACCTTTCATTCAAAAATTGCAAGTAAGGACGTTTTTGTACAAATATTTTCAGAAAATATTTGTGCATAACACAAGAGGAACTATATTATCCAAAAGTATTTAAATAAGGAAAATATTTTTGTAAACATGTAAGAGAAGGAATTAGCTGAAAAGCTTGCTCTATGCTTCTCCCTGGAAGTTGTTTGTATCTTCAAAAAACATACTTACCTGAAAAAATGTCATTAACATCTCTTTAGAAGAACTGTTCTTTTTTACTTTGTATCTTCATGAATCATTTGTTTACTTACCTGACAACTTATCGTTAACACATCTTTAAAAGAACTGTTCTTATTTTACTTTGTATTGTCATGAAGCATACTTTTACTAACCTGAAAACTTGTCGTTAACATCTCTTTTAAAGAACTGTTCGTATTTTACTTTGTGTCTTCATGAAGCATACTTTTACTTACCTGACAACTTGTCGTTAACACCTCTTTAAAAGAACTGTTCTTATTTTACTTTGTATCTTCATGAAGCATTCCTTTACTTACATGAAAATATGTCGTTAAAATCTCTTTAGAAGAACTGTTTTTCTTTACTTTGTATCTTCATTGAAGCATACTTTTACTTACCTTAAAACTTGTCGTTAACACCTCTTTAAAAGACTGTTTTTATTTTACTTTGTATCTTCATGAAGCATACTTTTACTTACCTTAAAACTTGTCGTTAACACCTTTAAAAGAACTGTTTTTATTTTACTTTGTATCTTCATGAAGCATACTTTTACTTACCTTAAAACTTGTCGTTAACACCTTTAAAAGAACTGTTTTTATTTTACTTTGTATCTTCATGAAGCATACTTTTACTTACCTTAAACTTGTCGTTAACATGTATTTAGAAGAACGTATTTTTTACCAACAATAGTTAAATATTATAATAGAATATTTGATTATGTCACAGTGTTTAATCTTTTTTAGTAATACGACCGACAACAGGTAAATCTTTTTATTAGAGTTTCTTATTTTGTTTATCCTGAATTTAACATTTTACAGCAACAGGTAAATCTTGTATCAAAGTTTCCGATTTGTTACCGACTATAACCTATTATAGCAACAGGTAAATATTTTATTAAAGTTTCCAAATCATTACTGACTGTAACCTCATTTAGTAAAATGACTGAAATCAGTTACATTTTGCTCCTGATTTATTACAGTCTGTATAACATATTTAAATATGATGACTGATGGTGGTGACATATCGTACTCATATTTTTATTTTATGACAGACTTTAACATCTTTAAATAAGATGACTGATGGTGGTGACGTATCGTACTCATATTTTTATTTTATGACAGACTTTAACATCTTTAAATAAGATGATTGAGAGCCTTCAAAATGACATGAGAAAAGATTCTGAAGAAATCAAAGAACTTCAGCAAACTACAGGCATGCCAAAATCTAAATCTGAGGTAAGTAAACTACGAGTTTTCACTTTGTTATGGAGTCTTTTTAAAGACTAATTGTATTTGCTTTTTCTTCTCTTATTTTCTGCTTAAACTATTTAAAGAATCATGTTTTCCAACAGTATTTTATTATTACTACAGTGTTTGTAAGTGCTGAATGTAAAAGGTTAACTTAAATAACTTGTTAATGGAATACTTAGATACACAAAAAAATTATTAGTTATGTTCAGTTGTTGTGTTTTTGTTCATACCTAGGCTTGTGTATCTGTAGTATGGATTGCTGAAGTACCTCGGATCTGTTCATACCTAGACAAAAAAATATATAACTAGATGTGTTCATTCATCACATTTCTGTTCATACCCTTATGTGTGTATGTGTAGTATGGACTGTTGAAGTACCTCAGGTCTGTTCATACCTAGATAAAAAAAAAATAACTGTGTTCATTCATCACATTTCTTATTCATACCTTGACATATGTGTGTAGTTGGTATGGACTGCTGAAGTACCTTGGGTTTGTTTGTATCTAGATAAAAAAAAACAAATGTAACTAGATGTGTTTCTGTTTATAGCTAGACATGTATCTGTTGTATGGACTTCTCAAGTACCTCAGATCTGTGTATAGCTAGACATGTATCTGTTGTATGGACTTCTCAAGTACCTCAGATCTGTTCACACCTAAATATAAAAAAAATAGTAACAAGATATGTTCAGTTCTCATGTTTCTGTTCACACCTAGGCATATGTACATGTAGTATGAACTTCTCAGGCATTTCAAGTCTGTTCATACCTTAGCACGTGTATCTGTAATATACATTGCTCAGGTGCCTCAAGTCAATTCATACTTTGAGGGCCACAACAGAATGTGTCTGAGGGTCAACATGTTTACCATTATACTTTGTTCATTAGACAAGTATTTTTGTTTTGTTTTTTACATTTTTTATTTTATCACTGGGTATATTTCTAGGGTCCACACATTTTCCAAACTCTAAAACATGAACATTTAAAAATGTGTATCCGTGAACCTCAAACCAAAATTATATAGAAAAATGTATTCACAAATTTTCAATCATGCACACACACACTAGCAAACATGTTTAATTTAATGCAATGATGCTTTCATGTACACTATAATATGAGCCATGTGGAGTTTTGCTGTCAGCTTTAGGAACAATATATATATATACCACAAAAGAATTAAAAACAGCTTTAATCTGATAGCTGTATGTGTGTATATGTATATATAATGAAATATGTAGCTTCTATACTATTAATTACATTAATTGTTAATAGGTGATTAAAATGAGCATTATAAAGATCTTGGTAGAGTTCCCATTTGTCAATTCTATTTGTTACCTTAAAGTCATATTGGATAATGCCTGTGGGAATAGCACCCAGATGCATTGGGGATATTTCATCTATCAAACAAAATCCAAATTTTAATGTTAAACTAACCAGCAAACATGGAAAATCAATTAAGGGTATGGAGTTGAGTGCTTACACCCACAACGTCTTAACTTCTACTGCCCTTCACTGTCTGGGAAGGCAGTTACCCTTAAAATTCCCTTCTCCTGAGCTGTACTGCAAGAATGATATACTGTTCATAATTAGATGTACCTATCTGTAATTTGTACAGTAGATATGATGTGCTACTCATGTATCTTGTGTCTGTTCATAGTTAGATGTACATATATGTAGTTTGTACAGCAGATATGATGTGCTACTCATGTCTTGTGTTTTATACAATATATGTGATGTGCTACTCATGTCTTGTGTTTTATACAATAGATGTGATGTGCTGCTCATGTGTTGTGTTTGATCATTATTAGGTGTACATATCTGTGTTGAATATACAAGACTATTTAGTGTAGGTATTATTATTATTTAATGTATTTTGTGAGTTAATATTTAATTATTGTTTAGTTTTTCATAACAAGAGCGTTAAAAGTAATCACTTTAAAGGCAATAATTATGACAAGTTTGGTTGTCATATCAAGGGGTGTTCTAAAGTAATTGAACCAGTCTGTGTGGACTTTGATGAAAAGGAGACAATTATTTGAATTTCAGCATACAATTGTGGTAACCCACGAGGTAGTGTAAGTGAATTATTCATTGATACTATTGTAATAAAAGTAGAGGAAAATAGTTCGTTTTTTAATTTGGATTCTAAAGTAATTGAATCAGCCTAAGTGGACTTTTGACAAGAAAAAGAGAACTATTTAGAGATTGAGATACAACTGTGATATCTGTAGTGTAAAGCATTTGTGGACATAGTTTGGCTTATAAAAGAATCCCAGTCCACTTGTATTTAAAACCCTGACATTTGGTGAGCCAGCCAGGATTATGCAGTGTTAAACAGTGGTAGATGAAGACTTGAACGACAGCGGAAATAAGTAGGCCTATGTATGCACAATTGTAGTGGTGGCAAAAATAGTGTAGAGATTATAATCACACTATATAAACATGTCAACAGATTTTGATAAATAGGTAGAAAGAGGTGAGCATCTTGGGTTAAAAGACAGTGAACTACAAGAATTTGTTAAATAAGAACTAGAGAGAAGAGCATAGATAAAGAAGAGAAGAGAGGAAGAAAGACTGAAAGACGAAAAGGAGAGAAAGGAAAGATTGGAAATAGAGAGAGAAAGAATAAAAGCACAAATAGTGAAAGAAGAAAAGGAGGGAGAGAGAGAAGAGACACTGAAAATAAAAAGAATTAGAGCACAAATTGAGATTGCCAAGCTCACCCAGCAGAAAGAGGAAGGACCCAAGAATGATAATGGGGTCAGGGCCAGCCGACCCAAGCTACCCAAATTTGATAAACATAAAGATGACATGGATGCTTTCCTGTCTCAGCTCACTTCTCACAGGAAAAGGCCTACAAATATATGCAAGCATGACATCAAAAGATACCATAGAATATGACAAATTAAAAGTGGCCTTACTGAAACAAAATGAACGTACACTAGAAGGTTTTCATTTGAAGTTCAGAGAAGTCAAATCTGACACTGGAGAAACTATTTCAGTTTTGGCACATCTATGGTGATAATTCATCAGATGGACTGATGTAGCTAAATGTGAAAATAGTTTTAAAAGATTGGCAGATCTACTAATACGTGAACGATTTATGATCATTTGCTCGAATGAGATGTCACTGTTCCTAAAGGAGAGAGCACCAAAAGACGTGGAGGAGATGATCAAACTAGCAGAACTGTATGTGGAAGCACATGGAGGGAGTATAACAAAGAATCCTCAGCCCACCACATATACATAAAACTCTGACAATCTGTACAGTAGATGTGCTGCTCATGTATCTTGTGTCTGTTCATAATTAGATGTACATATCTGTAACTTGTACAGTAGATGTGATGTGCTGCTCAGGTCTTGTCTGTTCATGATTAGATGTACATATCTGTAATTTGTACAGTAGATCTGATGTGCTGCTCAGGTCTTGTCTGTTCATAATTAGATGTACATATCTGTAGTTTGTACAGTAAATGTGATGTGCTGCTCAGGTCTTGTCTGTTCATAATTAGATGTACATATCTGTAGTTTGCACAGTAGATGTGATGTGCTGCTTGATGTTGTTTCTTATTATACCTAAAGATATTTGAACTTCTGTAGTTTTTTGCTGTATTTATGGTGTATTTCTCAGAAGTCATGTTTTTATTGTAAACATAACACTAATTATACTCACTTGTATGATTAGATTATGTTCACATTACTTCAACTCTTAAATTTTCATACTTGTGTGTCCAGGATATTTTTGTTTTAAGAAACACAAAATTGGTTTGAAATGACATGTTGAGGAAACTTACTTCTGCAGTGTGAATTGTTAATAAAAATTGTAGAATTTGTTTGCAATAGATTTTGGAGGAATTCTGTTTCCATAAATATGAATTGTTGGTGAAAAATGAATTATTTATTTGCAATAAACGAAGAATGTTACTACTATAAATGTGGATTGTTGATGTAAAATGCAGGATTTGTTTGATTCCATTGAGTATATGAGTGGAGTGTTAGATTATGGAGGTCAGTAGATTCTTGTTCTTGAGTCTAGGAACTTTATCAGTGTTAAACAAGCAGTGTTCCTGTTATCTGAACAGGCTGAAAGACAACTTCTTGATGCTGAAATGGACCTTTACAACAAACAACATAGGGGTGATGATACTACGGAGCTTAAGAAGAGGGTTATTGAACTCAGACAAAAGGTAACTTCTTCAAGTCATATCATGAAACACGGCTATTCTAGTTTATAAGAAGCTGAATTATAAAGAACGTACCAGAAACATCAGCTCTAATATCTGTAAAAAAAAATTAATTCATTGTTAGATGTGCTGCAAAAAGGACCTCAATAGTTAGTGCATCTGATTTATATGTCACTAGATTTTTTTTATAACCTGTCTGTGTTTCAGAAGTGCTTGGGTTGCTCACAGCAGAACATGCACTACATACCTATAGTAATGGATTCTACTATTAAATTAGATCTAACATCTCAGTTATTGTATTGGTATCAAGGTTCTTAGTTACAGCCTTTTTATTATGATGGTGTTTTATAACAAGGTTCTTAGTTACAGCCTTCTTATTATGATGGTGTTTTATAACAAGGTTCTTAGTTACAGCCTTCTTATTATGATGGTGTTTTATAACAAGGTTCTTAGTTACAGCCTTCTTCTTATGATGATGTTTTATAGCGAGGTTCTTAGTTACAGCCTTCTTCTTATGATGGTGTTTTATAGCAAGGTTCTTAGTTACAGCCTTCTTATTATGATGGTGTTTTATAGCAAGGTTCTTAGTTACAGCCTTCTTATTATGATGGTGTTTTATAGTAAGGTTCTTAGTTACAACCTTCTTCTTATGATGGTGTTTTATAACAAGGTTCTTAGTTACA